AAAAAAAAAAAAAAAAAAAAAAAAAAAAAATATTTTTCTTAACTGGTTTCAAATGTGACATATGCTTATCAAACTTTTCACATTTGTATATTTTGTAGTTGCAAAAACGTGTACCATTCTATAATCAGTATGGTAGTGAAGTGAGCCGTTTAGCTTATTGGCAAAGTGCAAACTATTAGAATACCTATATGGTTCCGGGCTGCGAAAGACCTTATTTTAAGCAATTACTAAATGGTCGTTACTCAAAAACTTAATAATTAGGCTTTTTAATTTTGCTTATGAAATGACTATTCTGTTTGCCAATTATATGGTAGTAACATACCACTGATCATTGCCCCCATGAAAAATTAAGAACAGAAACTTGAACTGGAGCATAAATATCCTAAGAGTGAAGAATTTCAAAATGAGATGCAATATGTATTGGTAAGTTTCTTTAATTTTTTAATATGACCTTCTTTACCACTCTATTAATCTTTTGATATAACCATATCAGCAGGTAAACAATTCTTTATTACTTCCAGTTTTCTGTTGTCCTATCATTGCTTTATTATTCAAACGGTTTAATTGATGTCAAGCTTTGTTTTTTTTTTTACTGTGAAGAAGAAGACCCGTTAAATTATCTTTCGATCCAGGTTATCCTAAGCCTGTCCGAATAGCAGCAAATGATTGAACACTTGATTCACTTCACTTAGCTTCTGATCTTTATTCACAAAAAGAAGTGTGAGAGTTTTTAAACACCCAAACATAAAAATAAATTTTCTTCTAAACGTTACGCTGTCTCAGCTTTGTGGCTCCACCGTGTTAATTGGACGAGGTGTGACGTAGTCGTTGAGGGAGCGGAAAAAAAGAGTGGCATACTGTAAAGGGGTTATGGGAGGAGGTTTACGTCATTTGGTAAATTTTGCCAATTCTTTTACACTTTGTGGATGTACAAGTCGGCGCTCATCTGTAATAGGGTGTACAGAGGAGCTGAAGACCACTAAAGTGTAAAAAAATGGCAGAGAATGTTGGGAGGTAGTGGTTGAAAGAAGAGAAAGGCAGCAGTCCTATTCTCCAATAGAAATGAAAAAAGGAATTAAATGGTAGGAATTATTATGTCAGACCACTAACAAACAATATGATAGTTCCAATTGCCGCTGCTACCGAAATCTAGCCAAAAGCAACCAAGCAATCATCGGATTTGTCGGGGCTCTGCTTACTGTATTTGTCAGTATCGTGACCAACCTTTGATTCGAAAATTTGGCCATCGTCATAGAATTCAGCCATTCCTAGGCCTCTGATCAAACATCACCTCGCTTCGTATAGCAGTGTCTCTTTATTTCATATTAATATCATCTCGTTTAGTCAGGTTATTCGCACCTTTTTTGTGCAGCCAAACATCATCTTCATCTTCGCCCATAAAAAATTGGGTTTTTTTTAAAATGTCCTACTTTATGGATGATGGGTTTTGGCAGTCAGAAAAAGTTATTTTACTCCTTAACTGGTGCTGTGCTTCTGTAAACTATCCTCCCACTTTATTTAAGACTAGTTAACGTCAGCTGTAAAACAACGAAGATCAGCTTCCATACAGTTGATGGACAAATTGAAAAAACTATTGGAACATATTTCAAATATTTGAAGAAGACTGCAGTGCAAGTCACTGACCACCAGTAATAATACAAAAGCGGTTGATAGTTCTATGTGCGAGAATGCAACCTTGTAAACGTGCAGAAGCAATTTGGTTAAAAAACTGGTTGAACTAACGTTTCCTATGTCAATAACGTTTTTTTAAGTTTCCCGCCTGTCACTTCCTAAACAGTTGTAACAGTTAACAGATGTACACTTCGGAGGATAACTCCGCAGGAGTTGTGTTCATCACCCCGCAATTTCTAAGCTTGAACGAAGTATATCAACTAACGAGGTCAGTGCAGATAAAGCTATTTCTCCATCGCAAGCCCCGTCAGATACGCAATAATATACGACGTATTTTAAACAATATGATCTTCCCAAGTATTGTACGAGTTATAAGTTGTTAGAAAGAAGATATCACTAATCAAGATGGGAAGTGTACTGTTCACTACCTTCTCCTTCTGTGATGGAACTTTTTCGGTAGCGTTTATCAATCAAAATGCAGTTGTATCAACTTCCATAGCTTGAGAGTACCCACCATAAGGAATAAACAAAAAAGCTACATCTTATTTCCAGAACTTTATTAGCAATCCACCTCTACCAAGACATCTGAACAACAACCCCCCCAAAAAAAATGAAACTTTGAGTTTTCCAAAAGACACAAAAAAAGCCGCACACTTTTGAATGCACTCCAGTATCTTTTGTGTATTTCAGATCCTCCCAGTGCAAATTACGAGAAAAGAAGATAAGTAAAACGAAGCACTTTGAAATTAATACACAATCCAACTGCACTGAGAGGTCTGGTTTCCAAAAACCAATTAGCAACTCTTACAGAATTCCGAAATATTTTTAGAACCAGGAGAGGAAAACTTGAACGGTGTTTGGGGTTAACTTCGTAAATATGGAATCTTTCAGCTTTAGAAACTTGGGAGTTACACATGAGACTTACGCAATACAGAGGCTAATTGTAGAAGTAGAATACTAGTAAATTAAATAAACTTCCGCAATAAACGTCTCTAACTTCCTAGTTTCTAAATTTTTTATGGTCACAACCTGACTCCCCTGGCCACCACGAAACGTCTTAATTGTTAATAAATCAGTAAAAAAAGAAAGGCACTGGGCGACAATTTTATTAGAAGATGGCCACTGCAAATATACATTTGTTTAAATCATAACGAAAATTACAAAAGTAAGAACTGAGAAAGAAAGTTCAAAACCCCTAAAATAATTATTCCACCATGAACAACAATATCAATTCGTCTGAGTTCTCCCCGCATCTGACGCTTCTTGAGATAAATTGCACAAGGAAGGGTAAAAACATAAATTAAACCAGAAAATGATCCGACAAACCTGCAAATTCTCCACTCAGTTTGAGATACCCAGTAATGCGAAAAAGTTACGAGAAATACTTACCTGAGAATGCTTCCAACATGGGGGTAAAATATAGCTATTGATACGAAGAGGCTGAGAGAACAACAGTTGAGCAGTAATACGTATCCAAAGCTTAATTACCAATTTAGATAAATTTTAGCATCTCAATCAAAATAAAAAAATGGTATATAAAAATTTACGAACAAAACACCATAAAGCACAACTTTTTCAAATTTCGGTAGGTAAGAGAAATACACTAATTTGAATAGATTTAGTCATTACAAATAAAGTGTAATAACTGCGCAGCAGCTCAATAGTTGTAAAAATAAAATCTCAGTAAGAAGAACACTTACCCTGGATACATTTGGCCTATGACTGCAAAAAAGAACTGCACACGTATTAGATACATCAGTAACGGAAGAACGGTTAACATTTGAAATAATATGAAAACGCGAGCAACAACACTGAGTACATCACCTGACCCAAAATTATTCAAGAAATTCTGCAATTTAGACGGTTACAACAGATCTGACTGTTAAAACAAACTAATTAAAAAAAAAAGCGTTAGATTTTGTTACTACTTGAAAACTCACATCAGAAATACAAGAACGACGAGTGGGAAATGCTGAAAAGAACACGACACCAACAATTATGTAACAAGTGGCTGCAAGAAAGTACCCAAGAGACAAGTCACGCGCCTGTAAACTATGAAGGAAACGAAGGGTGATTACGTCAAACGAGAATTCAAAACTAGAAAAATCAAGGTACCATTTTAACCCAAAACATTCTGCTTCACGTTGAACGAACACTTGACAGGCTTCAAAATAAAAAAAAGTCGAAAGCTTCACGACCAAATAATTAGTTCAAAACCTATTCCTTCCGGATAAATATATTAATGAAAATAAGTCTATGTCAATGAAAAAGTCTCAAAACTCACATTATTTGCAGGGTTGGCTTGATTTCGTAAGATTGTTAGTATTGCATTGTGGATGAAATACGACAAAGCTAGAGTCCCTGTAAGAGCCGGAAACCTCCAATTAAACACTAAAATAGTAAGAATACAAACAATTAATTAGGACAATCAAGCGACAATTCTTCTTGCAAAATTGAAGAATTTTTTTGTTTTTCCTGGGTCCACCATGAAATGTGAGAATGCCAAATGATCTCTCAATTCAACAGTTGTTAAAAACAAAAGTCTGCTGCTACTGTGAACAAAACTAAAAAAAAAAAAACAAGATCCAAAAACTACATCGAGAAAAGTGTTCTGACGACACATCCACAAAATTGAGATTGATACCACATTCTACAGCTTTTGAAATAACGAAAATGAGCAAAAAAGTTACAGAAACCGTCCCTGCAAAAGTCCTGTATGACAACATACACTAGAATTTAAAGTACATATATAAAGTCATTATGAAAGCTTCCTTACCAAGAACATTGAATTTAGTGAAGAAAGTTGGAGACTTGAAATTCAACAAAGGCAACACAAAAAAAGCCAAGTAGATTGGCACCGTACCCTAGAATTCGATTGTAGAATAAGTCATTACTAATACGTTAATCATAAATCATCTTGCTGTAAGTCAAACTGGAGCTTGAAACCAAATTTTCAAAATAATACAAGAATTAATATGAAGAATAAAAACGAATTTATAATCCGATCAAATCTCATTCAGTACAGTTATTTCAGAAAGATTACGCAACAACACTATGTCATGCCAAGAGTTAAGAACAAGAAACCCGAAGAGTCCATAAGCTGTCAAAAGTAAAAGTGTTTGGACGAGCAACTTCCGACAGTAAAGTGGAAACATATTTGCCAACCGTATCCAACTCTTCCCGCAAACTGACTTCGTCAGGACAGTAAACTAAAAAAGATTTTGAAAAATAGCCAAATTAAGTATGGTTTAACAAAAAAAGTCTGGAAAAAACTTTTTATTAAAAGTTAAAGAACTGCCAGTTCCAAAAGTGTAAAATAACTCGTGAATCAAAAATTTTAAACCTACTGTCACATTTGAAGGTCTTGTTCATCATAATAGGAACAATAGTACTGTTCGGTTGTAAAGCTTCTGCAAAAAAATTTTTCGGAACGAGGGAAGATCAGGCAAAAAAAAATAAATAAATAAAATAAAGATGGCGAAAAAATTGCAGTTACCATGTATTACATTGCCAGTATAGAACAAAAAGTTCGACATTATAACCCAATAGACCACACAACTTCCCAGTAATACAATAATAGAAAAGGTAGTTGCAAGGAACGTCCCATATGTACCCCAAAAATACCTACACACATCAGGCAAATCTGCAGCTGCACTATCGACCCCCAAGGCTGAATATAAAAAAAATGAACAAAACCAAAATCTGCAGGTTGAACTTCCTCTGTTTACCCGCCGCATGCTGTTAAAATTACAAACAATCGAAAATATATAGTGATAAGAAAGAAACTTACTCAAACCAGACGGGCTTTGAACAACCCTATATGCAGTATATAAACTTAGTGCCCCGACGGCAAGGATTAGGAATGATCCAAGAGCAAATCCAGCTTGTTCCATTGCCCAAGGCATAGCTAAGAGGCTGGTACCCATCATCGTGTTCCAGATAGAGAAACTTCAGAAGTTGGCTTTTTAAAACTGTGACAGAAAATGTCGACAGAAATGATAAAAATTCTTACACTGTGACAAAACTGCCTTGTTTCCCGCTCTCCCTTTTAAAATCATCGAAAGGTAGCACAGAAAAAAAGACTGGTGGTACAACATGATCCGGCATTCTCTGTAAATTAGTTTTTTGAGGTATTACTCAGAAGAAAATTATAAATTAGTAACCCATTTATCTGAGACACCAAAAGTTAAACTGATAAAAAGTTCTAACCAAAGACCCAGTTCCTTGATCCAGGCGGCTGAAAAGTCTGTATCGTATTGACATATTGTAAGCACGATCAATGTCTGCTGCTGAGTTCGTCCGAGATGGCGCTAAAATAATTTAGTAGTTGAAATAAAAAAGTTATAACTAGCATTACCAGCAATATGAAAAAATATAAAAGCAAGAAACTAATTAGAAAAAATGCTTTTCGAATACTTTGATAATTGCACATTTGAATACATAATGAATAACGCTTCTAAAAGCTCAATTTGCATACCGGGGCTGTTGGATGAAGAGGGTAGTTCATAATGATGGTAGGTGTAAGGTAATCTTTGAAGCCTACTATTGGAATTGCTTGTACTAAGGCTCTGCTCAGTCGTGCTTGGAACACTACTTCCACTAAAGATTGTAATAAAATATGATTATAAACTGTTTGTACATTTCGACCCATTTCAACAGTACCAACAAATCAAGCTGTAGCTGAGAGCAGAAAGTAAAATTTTTAAAGATACTTACGAAGTCCTTCGTAACAGTTGGGTGGTTGCAGGTACGGGATCTGATGCTGACACGTCGTCGCACATTTTTGACACCTAAAAAAGTGTTCATATACTAAACATGCCCTCCATTCAATGAGCCAACGAATATTCAACAAAAGACGCGGTGTCTACGAAATGTTCGCCAACAACTATGAAAGATCAGGAAAAATCACGCTTGACCTTCCGACAGACCGCAGAGCCTTTATTTCGCCTGCCAAATTTTCGTGTTTAACCGTGAACTCCTCTAATCTATGACGATCGCGCGAATTGTGTGTTGCAGTAGGCGCTCAAAATAACTCCATCACCTGACATGTGATGAAGCTAAACTTTAACAGAAATATGAAGGGATTTATCAGCCAACAGAAGCATTTCTCTGTTAAATTCGTCTGTTTCAGATTAGACCGCCTCTTTTATCTTTTGATTTGGCTACACTGTCTCACTAACATTATTTTACCTTTATTTACCGAAGTTTGGTTGAAAATATTGTCTTTTGTAAAGTTATCAATTTTAGTTACATTATCAACAAAATTATATAAAATTGTGGTTTTTTACAACAGAGATTCGAATGCATAGTTGTTGCGCTCCGTATAATAAGGTATATGGAAGTTGGGTCTTTACGGCAAATAACTTATTCAGAGATACTTCTAATCTACTACTGCTCAAATTGCTTTGTTGAAAGCGACACTTTCTTTCGCCTCGATAGCTAAAAATGGGTCAACCATAAACCACAACTCCAAGTATTTTCTGACAC